AATCCAAATAACTCTGAGATTTCACCTCACATCCTGCAAATTGGCAAATGGCAAAAGTCACTAATGCATTGTGAGTGGAGCTGAGAACTGATACAGCTACTTTGGAAAGCAATTTAGAATTATGCAAAGTAATTGAAATGTCCATATTCTTTGACTCAGAAATCCCATTACTGCGCTTATACCCCAAGGAAGTCACTGATAAATCAGAAGAAATTCCTTCATATGCACTCAAATATTTATAGCAGCATTTTTTGAGACAGCAAAGAATCAGAAACAAATTAGATACCCATCAACTGGGAAATGGCTAAACAAACTGAGGTACATGAATATAAGGGAATACTGCTGTGCTATAAAAAATGATTTGAAATAAATACAGAAGCATATGTTAAGATATATATGAACTGATGCAGCATGAAGTAAGCAGTCAATTAAACAATATACATGACTACATCAATGTAATCATTGAATTACACACAAAAAACAAAATCAAAAATGAACATATTAAGACTAAAAAGACCAAGCATAACTCAAGAGACACAAGTGGACACTACCAACAAACACATCCTCCTCACAGAGGTGGGAGGTCAATGAGTGTTCCATGTTGCACATGTTACTGGATTTTTTTCAATGTATTGATCTGTTATGCTTATTTTTTCTTTTTTTCTTTTTTGTCTTGAAGAAATACCATATTAAAAAAAAAAAGAAATACCATATGTTACATGGGATGGGTCTCTGGAAAGGAGAGAGATACTGATGAAAACTATGAAAATGCAAAAATCAAGACATCAATAAAAACTCATTTTAAAGTGTATTTGGCAGTTCAATCTGTGCTCTAGGGTACTTCATGAGAACTTTGACCTTGAAAACATTTTATGACTGTATGCACCTAGAAGACAGTAACAAACACAATACATGATGTACTGATGATTTCGTTAGTTCAAGCAAAAATCTACCCACAGGGTCCTTTCAGCTGGCTCGAGATCAGAGCAAAGTTCAAAGGTTCTTAAGAACTTGAGGCTAATGTTAGATCGGAAAATACTGTATAACCTGACATAATGACCTAATAGTACATCAGATGATATAATACTCCAAATCTATATATAGGGACTGGATGGTTCCCTTCCCAACTTCTTCTAAATGTCATTTCAATACCTCTAATAAGTTTTCACTTTCAACATGAAAAGAAAGTTATATTTTCCTTTGCCATGAAATAAGCAATTTTGCCAAATGTAACAAAATTGATGCATATATTTCCTAGATACTTTTCTTCATTCTGATGTCAAATGAAAAAAGATCTGGAAAATACTTATCCATTATTTAAAATTATTTTAGTAATCATTCGTAAGAATGTCTACTGGATATCATATTTTCAAAGTATTTTACCATTTACCTACAACAGAGTTCTATTATCTTTCTAAAGTGAAGCTATTCCTAGGTTGAGGCAGCTAGCTGGCTTAGTGAATAGAGAGCACTGGGCTGGAGTCAGGGAAGAATCGAGTTCAAATCTGTTTACATCATGGGAAAATCACCTAACCTCTGTTTGCCTTAATCCACTGAAGAAGGAAATGGCAAACCACTTCAATATCTTTGTCAAGCAAACCCCATGGACAGTAATGTGCTAAGGTCCACAGAGTCATGAAGAATCAGAAAATGAATGAACAACATAATTCCTACATTTCAGCCATTTGGGGTGATTTCAAAGAAACTGAAGTTGAGGGTCACCAGCAATCACCAAAGAAGATGCTACTCTCCTTTTCCATGCATACCCCTTTGGCTGCACTATTGTTGCCCTTTATTGATTTATTTTTGCCTTTAAAATGTTAAATTGATTTCAATGATTTGAAAACACTAGGGGTTGAAGTCCACAGTATGACTTGGCCCAAGTCTTAGATTGCCTTGAGGACACCCTAGGCACTACATGTACCTCCTAGGCATTTTTAACATTTTCTATTTTATAGCTGGAAAAGAGTCAAAGGTGTAATAAGCTTTGAACAAAATCCCATAAGTCATCAAGAATCCATTCACTAAGTAACTGAAAATATAGTCTGATGGCATTTTAGACAAAGTCCAACCCACCCTCTCCTGATTCCTGGTCTAGTACTATTTCCACTATTATAATCACACATTCTCTGACATAATATATGCCCCCAAGGTTTCTAACAGAAGTCAAAATTCAAGCAAATTAATTCTTTGTTTTCACTGACTTTCATTACGTTACAGGCCTGCATGCAAAAAATGAAGAAAAACAGTTAAGAGTACTAAGAGTACAAAAAACATTTATAATCAACTTCTTTAGGAAGCAGCATGGAACAGCAGAAACAACACTGGCTCTCTTATCAAAAGACCTGGGTTGAGATCCCATCCTGGACACTTACATTACAATATATGATCTTTGAGCCAGTCCCTTTTTCTCCTTGGTCCTGTTTTCTCATTTGCATAAAAAGGGAGTTGGACAAGATCAATCAATCTTTCCATAATCCTACGCATTTTTATATACATTTAAAAAACATTATTCTAAAAAGGGTTCCACAGGCTTCACCAGATTGCCGAAGAGGACCAGGACACAAAAAAGTTAAGAATCCCTGCAAGGATTTAAAAGGAGGAAAACTATAGAACCACAGGGGAGACATCAAATTAAACTGCATAAAGATAAGAAACTGTTAACATTTTGTTTTCAAATACTACACCACTACCTGAATTGCCCGGCTCTTTCTCTTACTTTATGAACCTTACCATCTTCAGAAAGAGACTCAAAACTTGTAGGCTGCATCCACCATGTGTTCAGTTTGATCCACAGTGTAGTACTTCGTTCTGTAAAACTATTTTTCAGTGGTTTGAGTATGTGTATATGTTGTCGCTCTAACAAATCATAGCTCTTTGAAAGGAGTTATTAGACCTTCTAACAGTTCATTCAAAATGCCTCTTTTAATATTTCCTACATAGCAGGCAAAAAGTAAACATCTTCCCTGACCTCTTTCCCAGAGAAGTCAAATTGAAGGTAGTTAATAATTGGCCTAATCTATCACAATCAGGAGATTGTTTCTTGATTATAAGATAATCATTACCTCTTCATTCTTATTCCACCTAACCTCCCCTTCTAACCCTCCACAGCACCCCGCCAAAAAAAAGTTAGGTAAGTGCAACAAATCATTAAGATTCTTGACTCTCAACAATGAGCCCAGCACCAAAGAGACTTGCCTCCATTAATCAGGACACATCTGTCTATCTTTGCTGTTGTTTGAATGTAATACTGTGAAACATGCTCAGAATTGCTTCTTAGTCAACTAGATGGTACTCACACAATTAGGTTTAATTATGTCTCCTTTGGGCATAGATCTGACAGGATGATTCCATAGTAAAAGTAGATGGAAAACTCAGGAAAAAAAGAAAACATTAACTCGGAAGGGAAATTGCAGTTACAGTTAAGCAGGCTAATGTACAATCCAAAGTAATTTCAGTGGATGTAGATTTACAGATAGAGAGGTAAGAGAAAAGGCCTCTTTTACCTTCACTGTTTTCAGAGTTAAAAACATTAATGACAGTTTTGATCACTATATTTATGTCACAGAATGTATAAGCAGGCATTAAAGAAATGGACTTCCCAACTCTAATCATACTTATAGCTCAGAGATTAGATTTTGTATTTGGCCCAATACGCCCACCAGTAAATCTTTCCCTTGCCTCTCATCTATCAGGATATTTTCTACAAAAACTTCTCTTTCATTCAGTAAGCTATCACAAAAGTAGAGGATAATATAAATGTGTTCTTTAATTCATATTATTTCTTCATTAATAAGATAACTAGTTAATATGAAAAAAAATTAGATAAGACCTAAATGATTAAATTTCAAATTGACTACACATTCATGGTTAGTAAAAAGAAAACAAAAGCTTTACTCTCTTTTTTTTTTTGGGGGGGTCCATTAATGAACTATCAAGAACTTTTACTGACTTACCTGCTTAGAGTATCTTACCTTCAACAATGGGAAAATCTTTTAAAGTAGTCAGTAATCAATTCAGAGATTTGGGGCTTAAATTTTAGCTGTCATCATGATGTTTGTTCAATAATTACATAGTATTATTAGAAACTCAGGATTAACCATAATAAAGCAAGATTTCACTATTCCTGGGGGCAGGTAGGTGGCACAGTGGATAGACTATCGGCTCTGAAGTCAGGAGACCAGAGTTCAAAATCAGGTCTCAGAACAAACACTTGACACTTATTAGCTGTGTAACCCTGGGCAAGTCTCTTAACCCCGGGCAAGTCTCTTAACCCCAACTGCCTAAAAAAGGGGGGAAAAAGATTTCACTATTCCTATCTTAATGGGATTTTTTAAGACTAAAGCAAAAACAGCATTCTTAATTGTTTTCATTCAACTCTGCTATAATTTGTTATAATTGTTTCAGTAGTATCCAACTCTTTGTGACTCCATTTGGAATTTTCTTGGCAAAGATACTGCAGTGGTTTACCAGTTCCTTCTCTGGTTCATTTTATAGGTGAAGAAACTAAAGCAAACAGGGTTAAGTGACTTGCTGAAACCAGGGTTGCAGGTGTAATAAACACTGACTTATTACTTGGACACTTGCTATGTGCTATAGAGCCTGAAAAAAATCTTGCTGTGTTCATCAAAATAAAATATAAGTGGTTTAGATTTAGCAGAGGAGAGAAACAATGGAATAAAAGAGAAATTCCTTGATACTTTAAGATTTTAAAAACATTCAATCCAAGCTATTTTTCTTTAAGGAATCTGAGTGAATTTATTATATAAAATTATGATTGGCAGGATACAGAAAAAAATCTTTTAAAATGTACATTACTCTTTAATCTGTACACAAGTATTACAAGTACCAATCAAAATGCAACTGGAAGAACTCATTTCAAACTACCAAAAACTTGAAGTTACTCAAGTTACAAAATGTTGTGTAAATAAATGCACTTCAAAATACATATTTCTGAATTTTTAAACAATTAGCAGGGTACACAATCATTAATGCGATCATACATTTTTTACTTACAGAAATCAACCAACAAAAACACATGGTTAAATCTTTTACAGATTAGTCAAACTAGGGCATAATTCAGGGCATACTGTCACGCACATTGGTTGAATAGTAGCGCTTTTTACTAAATGATTTTGTATCAAATAATAAGAAAACTAATTTTCTCTTTTAATAGTGATCCAAGAAAATGTAAAATAAAAATCAGAAGCCAGTTTTGTATTCTGTATGCCTCTGGAGCATTTGCACTGATTGTCTTTTAATTTCACTATTAGCTCTATCCAGTTCTGTCTGCACGATCATAAGATCCAAAATGGGAGAGCTACATAACATATGAACCATTAAATAAAACTGAAATTGTAAGACGGAAAAATATCAAAATTATTAAATGCATCCCCAGAATCAGGCTAGAACCTGTGCCTCTAAAATATTATTTTAGAATGTACGTTGGCTAAATCAGTGGTAGAATTTTGGCCCTGAAGGCCAAAACAAATGGAAGGAGGCACTGTAAATAAGACGGCTGACTCATTACAGCAAATAATATAAAACATAATTTTAAGTTAACACAAAAATATACAATCACTTTGAAAATAGCAAATTATAAATTCAAAATCAAGCCATAATGTAAGGTGATAAATTGGTAAGAATGCATATGCACTGTATAAAAACACATCTAAAAACAATATATTGTACCTATGCTCATAAGTGCTATACATAGAATATATACTAAATTCAGGCTACATAATGAAGAATCAAGACCCCATGTTTATTTCAATTTCACATTTCAGAATTCCTGAGTCTTACCAAAACAACAACCATCAAAAAAAACCTTGTTCTTTAAAGAGGAAAATGTCCCCAAATTTGGACATGTAACAGTAATATAGTTATTTTCTTAAAGCTGAAATCTGGGGAAAATATACTTGAATAAACCTATAAAGTTTATTTAAAGCTTAATTTTTACATGGAAAAAAAGGCATTGCTTTTTTTTTTAAAGGCCACCTGTGTTGTATTTGCAGTATTAGTAATTCCAGCATTTTTATGGGGAGAAATTTCTCCTTTTAAAAGCCTAATTATATTTTATAAATTAAAACCAAAAAAATTTGTATTTAAAAAAAGTTTTTAAAAGTAGAATTGCAAATGTAACAGCCCTTTTATGAAAGAACTTGTGAGGGCAATATGTCACTGTAACACAATTAGATCATGAGTTTCAATTCTAAACCAACCTTATTGAAGTCACACAGTCCATCAACTATGCTATAGCTTCCCTTTTGCTTTGCATATTACACAGTGTAAATAAAAAAGATATCTTAAGAGCACTTCAGTCCCACAATGTAGGATATAAGCTTGTGAATATGCATAAATGGCCCTGCAATGATTTGATGATATACAAAAATACATTCAACCAAAAGTTAATGTCTGTTTTTTAAAATAAAAAGGGAAGGGGAAGCCAAATGGTCCCATAATATATAAAATACTGTTTATCAGTTTCAGAAATATTTCCAAAGCAAAGGACATTCAAGAATATTGTACACTAAATTGCATACTTTTATGGTTCTTTATCATTAAGAAAGATACACACAACTATTCACAGACTTATAAATAAAAACGCTATGAAGAAAAATATTGGGCTATTTCTCCATTTAAAAGGTACACAGAAATAAAATAATTTTAAAAACAAAACAAAAAGTCACTAAAGTGCAGACCTACAGGCCATTACAGGCATAATGAATGGTAAAAAGGTGCAGTCAAAATTACAACTAGATTTAAATTCTTTACCCCTTAATGGTACTCCACTTAAAAACAAAACAAAAATCCATTGTGCAATTTAAGAACTGGTCAGTTGGTTGTGCCATAATACAACTTGAATTTTAATTTCTAACCTGACTTGGCCCACTAGTGAAGTGATTTCTAGGCATTTAGCAACACATCAGGTTCCTAATAATTATGTACATTTTTGAACTGGGCTCATACAACATTGATTCCACCTCCAGAAAATGTTAAAGTCCTCTTGTTGAAGAATGAAGAGCCACTGGTGTTTGGTTTATTGCCTTTAACAATAGAAGTTTTCAGTTCCATTTCACATGCTACAATTGCTGCATTCAATTCCACTTGAGCTCGATGTACTACATAAAACATGAGGCCTATACTTATAACAATCTGTGAATAAAAGAAAAACATTAAGAATTGAAAATATGCTTATAAGGAAAATGCTCAAAATTTTTAAATATTTAAATTCAAAGGAAAAATAAATTCTTTCTACAAATTTTAATATAGGTAAGGTTTTTTGAAACTCTATTACAGAATAATATCGAAGGGGGAAAACTATTATTATCATTACTACTATTATTATTTAGTAGGTGGCACAGGGGATAGAATGCTGGCACTGGAGTTAAGAAGACCCTTCAACTCTAGCCTCAGGAGCTTACTAGCTATATCACCCTGAACAAGTCACTTAATCTCTGTTTGCCTCAGTTTCCTCAACTGTAAAATAAGAACAATAATAGCACCTACCTCCCAGAGTTGTTGTGAGGATAAAATGACGTAACATTTGCATATGTCTATAAAAATTTACAAGTAAATATGTATAATGTACTATATGTTATTACTGTTGTGGTGATATACTCTCACCTTTCTTAGCTGCTTTCCTTGAGGGTAAAAGCAACCAAAATTTATGAGTTATTTTTAAATTGTGAATAAGACAAACTTATACAGCTCCATTCTGCCCATCCAAATTATGTATATTTTATACAAGTCAATGAGCATTTATTAAGCACCTACTATGTACCAGGCATGGTGCAAAATTCTGGGGAAACAAAGAAAGGAAACAAACAAAAAAAGTCATTGATCTCAAAGGAGTTCACAATTCAAAGGGAAGACAACATACAAACCACTTTATACAAACGGGTTTGATACAGAAAAAATTGAAGATAATCACAAGAAGAGGCACTAGCATGAAAGTAATGGCTGAGAGGCTTCTTGTGCAAGCTGGGAATTTAGCTGGGGCTTGAAGGAATCCAGAGAAGTCAGGAGGCAGAGAGGAAGAGGGAGAGAATTTCAGGACTGGGGAAAAGCAGTGAAAATGCACTGAGTTGAGAGATAGGAGTGTCATGTTTCACAAATAAGAGGCCAGTTATTCCTGGATAGCATAATACATGGAGGGGAGTAAGGTTTAAGACTGAAAGAGAAAGAATGGGTTATGTTATGAAGGGTTCTGAATGTCAAACAGAAAACTTTATATTTGATCTTGGAAGTGACTGGGAGACAATGGAGTTTACAGAGCATAGAGTGACACGGTCAGACTTGCCCTTTAGAAAGATCACTTTGACAGGTCAGTAGATGATGGACTAGAAAGATTGGTGGTAAGGAAATCCACCAGAAGTTATTATAATAGTACAAGCATGAGGTGGTAAGGGCCTGCACTAGGGTGATATGGCAATGTCAGAGGGGAGAAGGGAACTTAGATAGAATTGAGAGCATTCATAACGGGCTACATGTGGGGGAGTGGGCTATGGAGTATGAGAATGAGGAGGATGATACTTAGGTTGTAAGCCTGGGTGATTGTGAGGATGATGATGCCTTGGACAATAATAGGAAAGTTAGGAAGAGAGGAGAGTTTGAGGGGAAAGATAATGAGTTCAAGTTTGGACATGATGAGTTTAAGATGTCTACAGGACATTCAGTTTGAGATGCCCAAGACTGGAGATCAAGAAAGAGAATGGGGCTAGATAAATAGATCTAATAATAATCTGCAGGGAGAAGATAATAGAATCAATGGAAGATGATGAGATCACCAAACAAAACAGGACTGAAAGAGAAGAGGATTCATGACTCAGCCTTGGGGGGCATGCACTGTTACTGAAACATGTGTGCCCAAGTTAAACTGCTTTGTTGTGCTAAAAAAAAAATGTCCTACAAGGAATGATGTATTTCTATAAGTGAGATTTTTTTAAACCAAATTTTGCCGTTATAATTAGTGGAGGCTAGACATGTGATTAAATCCTGTGCCTTAGATGGGCAAGGAACCACAGAAAATGGAAGAGGTGTCAGACAAGCAAATGTCAAGTTTTCAAAGAAAGACTAAAATTATGGAATCAGGAAACTAAATAATTGAATTTGATGCCAATCTCTGACAAATTTAAGAATATATTTGGAGTACTACATTAAACAGATTATTTGTGAGCACTCTGGAAGGTAGTTACTAGGAACCATGAGATTCACTATGAAATCATGCCAAACTAACCTCATTTCCTTTTTTGGAAAAAACTGCTAGATTATTGAACCAGATAAATACCAGTCACACTGTCTTCATTTAAACTTAGATCACAGTCATAAATTTAGAGTTGGAAGGACCTAATGGTCATTTCACATCTAAACTCCTTATTTTAAATATGAGGAAAAGGAGCTTCAGAGAAGTTAAGTGATTTATACAAGTAATAAGTAAAAGAGTGAGGATCTGAATATAGGTCTTCTGATTCTAAAGCCTGTAATCTTTCTACTATATCTCACAATACCCTTGTATGAAAAAAGACAAATGTAAGCCATGTGACTGTCAACTTAGATCGACCAAATTAGAGTGTCTCTAATAGTGGGCTATCAGGTTGACACACAGTAGTTCAATGTTTAGGAGGCCCTGAAGGAAAGTGTGGGAGAGAAGAGGTAGTAGACTGACTATCAAACTGGAGGTCTACAAAAACATTGTGCTGACCTCACCGTTGTAGGCCTGTGAAACCTGAACAGTATACCAGCGCCATGCCAGGAAACTGAATCACTTCCATTTGAATTGTCTTAGGAAGATTCTGAAGATCACCTGGCAGGGAAAGATACTAGACACTGAGGTCCATTCTCAAACTAGACTGCCAAACATTCAAACTCTACTGCAGAGAGTGCAACTAAAATGGGCTGGCCACGTTGCTCAAATGCCAAACGTACGTTTGCCTAAAAGACTGTTTCATGGAGAACTCACACAGGGCAAGCACTCATATGGTGGTCAGAAGAAGCAACACAAGCACACTGTGAAAGTTTCTCTATGAACTCTGGAACTGATTGGGTGACATGGGACACACTGGCATAGGATAGCCCAGCCTGGCGTGCCCTCATCAGAGAAGGTACTGTGCTCTATAAGCAAAGCAGAATCAAAGTAGCTCAAGAGAAATGCGAGATGTGCAGATTTAGAGACTCCACCCCAAAAGTTCACAGGAATTATTTGTGCCAGACCTGTGGTAGAGCATTCTGAGCTCATATTGGTCTCATCAGACACAGCTGGAAGCACTGTAATTTGACTCTAACATAGTGATGTCATTTTGGTCCTCTTGAAAGACAACCATTAGGCTCTGTTTATTCTATCCTGTTCAACATTTTTATCAACTATCAGGATGAAATAAAGGCATGCTTATCAAATCTGAGAATAACCTGAAAATGTTGATAGCCTGGAAAAATAGATCAATACGAAAAGCATGAAATGTAACAGAAATAAATTTGCATTCAGGCAAAGAAAATAAACAAAAACTGTAAAAGATAATAAGAGGTTACTTCAATAAGTTTAATAGACTTTCACGGAAAAGATGTAGAACATTTAGTCAACTACAGACTCTTGTAGAATCATAAGAAAGACAAAACATTTAACAAAAGAATGAATGAATATTTAAACAGTACTAACAGAAGCACTGTCATCAGATCAAAGAAGATTTATTTTGTGCCAGTCAAACAATACCTGGAGTATTAAGCATAACTCCAAGTTCCATAAGGACAAAATGGAGTACATCCAGAGGAAGGCTACTAGGACAGAAATAAGGTCTGAAAGTATATTATTAAGGCAGACAAACTGAAGGAATTAGGGGTATTTAACCTAAAGAAAAGAAACATGGGCAGGAAAGGGAAGGAAAGTTAATGGCTATCTTAAAACATTTGAAGAGCTGTGATAGAAGAATTATAATTATTCTAATTCCAGAGGATAGAACTAGTACCAATGGGTAGAAATTACAGGGATGCAGATGTCACCTCAAAAAAACTTCCTAAAGCTTTCCAAAACTACAATTAGCCACCTCGTTAAGTTACAAACTCCCATCACTGAACACATTTCAAGCAGGTGCTAAATAAGTATCTGTTAGAGATACTGTAAGGGAATTTTGTTCTGTTTTCTGTATTAAGTAAAAAGGTACGACTAGATGACTACCTACACTTTCAACTAAGATTTCATTAGTTTTCTACAATGAAGTGAGAAGCAGCTCATTAACAGAATGCTGCTACTTGCAAATGGACAAGATACCACATTGCTAAGCATGAAACAAAATGAAATGTCAATCAACTCCAAATTGGGCCATAAAACCACAATAAACAAAACAAGGAACACTGAAAACAAAAAGAGGCCATTAAAACAATAAAATGAATTAGAATTAGAAGGGAAAGGCAGTCTCCAAACTTCGCAGTCATTTGGTGGTTGTATTTTCTCATTAAAACAATTTCATAGCTTTTAGGCCTCCATTTTCTACAACAAAAGGTTAATAATAATTGTTCCCATGTATATAACAGGAAAACAAAGCACCTCCCACATAATAACTCTGTGAGGTGGTTAGTACAAGTACTATTTTCTCATTTTAGAGACAAAGAGACTAACGATCAAAGATTGCTTCTACTCCCAGTAGCAACAGAGCTAACAAATTAAACCCTGGTCTTCTAATTCCAAGTCTGGTGCTTCTTCTATTTGTTGTCTAATGTGACTCAAATATAATAGTAATGGTATTATTTCTATTGCAATTTGTTTCAAAGGAAAAATGTATTTAGAATTTTAATTCAAGATACCAAGGAATACAACTGACCTTGGAGGAGCAGGCACCAGCAACCCAGCATTAGTCACTTGTTAGCTCTCATACATAGGAGACATTTCTCTATGTCAATCGTTCCCCCTATGTTCCAAATTAGGGAACAATAGGTGAACTGCCCCAAAGGCGTGAAGAGGTGCCAAACAGCCTTGACTGCACAACTAAGTCAGACTCTAAGTTCTTGGCAAGGAGGAGTTCAGTAAACATGAATATAACCAATCAAAAGTGTTGTTCGTTCAGTTAATCTGACGTCAGAGTTTAATTCCAATGGCTTTGAATGGTTCTAAAAGGTTGGGGTTTTTTACTGAATTTGGATACAGCCAATATAATTTACAAATAACTTTATATTTAATATAAACACAAACTACAGAAGACATCCACTGTATTCGTAACCATTGTTCTTGACTGACCTGATAAATGTGTACACCTCAATATTTGTGTGGACAGAATATTTTCTTGTATTCTAGCTTACGATGAACATTAGATATTTCCTCAAGCTAGTATTTTGTGTATTGGTTTATTTTGAGAAATTACATCTGTGTACAGAGACAGATAGTTTAATGGATATTTTACTTATCTATGTCTACATGTAGGTATAATTTCAACAAATGTAAAATGCAATATGATAATGTGTTTATAACCTACAATATGTGTATTCCTGGTACACAGCAGGATTTTAATAAATGTTTATTGATTGGAATGCTGTATTTCATTAAGAGTTCATTTTTTTACCCTGTAAATTTTGTTGGGCATGTTAGACATCATGGAGAATGAAATCAAGTGGGTCTTAGGAAGCATCACTAACAATAAGGCTAGTGGAGGTGACAGAATTCCAGTTAAGCTATTTAAAATCCTAAAAGACAATGCTATAAAAGTGCTACATTCAATATGGCAGCAAATTTGGAAAACTCAACAGTGGCCACTGGTCTGAAAAAGATCAGCTTATATCCCAATCCTAAAGAAGGGCAATGCCAAGGAATGTTCAAGTTACCAGAACAATTGTGCTTATTTCACATACCACCAAGGTTATGCTTAAGATTCTTCAAGCTAGGCTTCAGTAATATGTGAACCAAAAATTACCAGAAGAGCAGGCTGGTTTTCAAAGAGACAGAGGAACCAGAGAACAAATTGCCAACATTCACTGGATTATGTAGAAAGCAAAGGAGTTCCAGGGAAACATCTATTTCTGCTTCATTGCCTACACTAAAGCCTTTGACTATGTGGATCACAAAAAAATGTGGCAAGTCCTCAAAGACATGGGAATTCCAGATCATCTTATTTTTCTCCTGAGGAACCTATCTGTGGGTCAAGAAGTAACAATTAGAACAAAACATGGAACAACTAATCGGTTTAAGATTGGAAAAGGAGTACAACAAGGTTGTGTATACTGTCACCTTATTTACTTAATTTATATGCAGAGTACATCATGCAAAATGCCGGGCTGAACAAATCATAAACCAGAATTAAGGCTGCTTGGTGAAATATCAACAATCTCAGATATGCAGACAATACTACTCCGATGGCAGAAAGTGAGAAAGAATTAAGTCTCTTGAGGACAAAAGGGGGAAAAGTATAAAAGCTGGCTTGAAGCTTAACATAAAAAAAAAACCCTAAGATCTTGGCAATAGGTCTCATCAATTCCTGGCAAATAGAGGGAGAAGAAATGGAAGTAGAGTCAGATTTTATGTTCTTAGGCTCAAAGATCCCCGAAGACAGTGACTTGCATCCATGAAATTAAAAGATGTTTACTTCTTTGAAGAAAAGCTATGGCAAATCTGGACAACAACTTAAAAAGCAGAGACATCACCTTGCTGACAAAAGGTCCATAGGCAAAGCTATGGTTTTTCCAGGAGCAATGTTTGGCTGAGACTGTTGAACAGTGCAGAATCAAGCTTTTAAATTGTGGTGCTGGAGAATAATTTTGAGAGTCCCTTGGACAGCAAAGAGGTCAAATCAGTCAATACTTAAAGAAATTAATTAATTCAGACTATTCACTGGAAGGTCAAATATTAAAGCGTAAATACTTTGGCCAAATAATGAGAATTCAAGCCTCATTAGAAAACACCCTGATACTGGGAAAAATTGAAGGCAAAAGGAAAAGGGTATTAACAGAGGATAACATGAATAGGTAATGTTATGGAAGCAAGGAACGGGAGCTTGGACAAACTTTGGGAGATAGTAGAGGACAGAAGGGCCTGGAATGCCATGGTCCATGAGGTCACGAAAAGTCAGACACAACTGAACAACATGTTCACTCAATTATATAACACAACATCTTTTGCCTTTTGAACATCATATTCCTAGTTCTCTGCTCCCTTATAGCGGTAACTAAATCTTACGTTCTCCTGACTGTTGCTCCTTAGTAATGAGCTTTCTGATCTCCTTGCCTCAAGTTTCTCCCCACTCTAGTCCATCCTCCATCCCGCTGTCAATTTAATATTTCTAAAGCACAGATCTGACCATGTAAGCACTCAACTCAATAAACTCCAGTGGCTTCTTATCGCCTCCAGGATCAAATATAAAATTTCCTATTTGGTATTCAAAATCCTTCACAAGCTGCTCCCTTCCTTCCCCTCCCAGTCTTCTTGCACTTTCACATCCAGGGACGCTCACTTCCTCTCTCTTCCTTGCACAAGACATCTATCTCCAAACTCCAGGCATTTTCACTGGCTGTCCCCCATGCCTGGGATACTCTCTCTCCTCATCTCTGCCTTCTGGCTTCCTTCAATCACATATAAAATCCCATCTTCTATGAGAAGCCCTTTCTGACATCCTTTAATTCTAGTGCCTTTCCTCTATTGATTATTTCCAATTAACTCTTAAATATCGTATATGGTTTATTTTAGTGTTGTCTCCCCCATTGCAAGCTCCTTGAGAGCAAGGACTGTCGTTTCCCTTTCTTTGCATCCCCAACACTTAACAGTGTTTAGCACATATTTGACACTTAATAAATGTATGCTGATTGATTTGACTGTTGGACTTGACTTGTCCCTTTTCTGCCACAAAGGATACAAGGGGGCTTGCTACTCTGAAGAATAATATTACTAAGTAAGCAGGGCAATGATTGGCAGGACCTGGATAACATCTAATTATTTGTATACCAGAATTTTTATAAAACCTTATTTCTGGCTTTATATATTATCCAGTGAATTTTAAGGCTCCTTTTATCTCTAAGAATTCTGCGAATAATAATTCTAACAAATACTAATTTCAGGAACTTGCTATGAAAGAGTAAAGTAAGCTCTTCACACCACACATCTGTGGTCTGCAATTTGCTGCAGTCCTTCCATGGCAGCAATGAATAAAAACTGAAAACTCATTTCAGTTACACCTATTAATGAGATAAAAAGGCAAACAGCAATTATACCTCACAGGTATTCTGAATATTTACAGTGGCTAATGATGGGCTATGGCAGGAGACAGAGGATATTAGGTTCTGGAGGAAACAATAACAAAAAAAGATCTTTAGGGTCAACATGCTTTACTTGGTTCAGTGAAAAAAATTATCCTTTCAGTCTCTGTCTGAATGTTTGGACTAAGTCTGAACTACCACTCCCATTTGAACCCTAAGCGTTCGTCCCCATCCCCGGTATCCACCCAGGATCACTTCTAAGGAAACTATTACATTTTAATTACTCTCAATGGTTATCTTAAGGCTGCCAGTTTTCATTTAAAGAGGCAAAAGAATAGCTAGAGAAAGACACCCTCTTATAATTTAGGGAACCAGCACTCTTGACAAATAATGAACATTCATTCTTTCAAGCTGTTAAAGCGCCATTAAATAACCCAGAATAAAAACGCAACAAATTCTAATTTACAAATACTATAAGAATTTTTAGCCAGTACAGAATGAAGTATTCTGACCAGAGTATTTATAGTGGCTTAGTAATTTTTTAAAGTTTAAATATTATATAATCCTAAACATAACTGAATCTTTCTTCAATGATTCAGAATGTACTTCTAAATCTTGTAGGATCTCAAGGCTACTATGTTCAACTAACATTAAATTGTAAATGTGCAGAAATTCCACTTGAGGAGAATTTATTTTCCATTTATGCAAAATTCCAGTAGAACACGTTAAATTACATAATGGCAAACTCTAATCCTAAAGTCTCATTTTTCTTAAATGAAATTAAATTCTGCTGATAAATTATGATATCCAAATAAATTATAATGAAGAGCAAAATTCCTAAACTTCAACAAGAACATGAATTTATTTCAAAACCAGTATTTTATTTTGACTTAACTTTTAATCAAGATAATAAACGTAAATATTCCAAGGCCTTCTTATTAAACTTTTATATTAAAAGCACAAAGAAAATTAACTTTGGCTCCATACTTATTACACTTTCTGATATCAATAATCCTGAGAATTTATGAAACACAGCACCAACTACAACTGACATATGTCAAAGCCATTTAGCTGTTGCCTCTGCAAATCTGAAAATGTAATCTAATATAACACTGCTACAGTTTTTATCAGCTCACTCCATGGACTCTTCCTGTGTGCAATTTAAAGATGGTTGAATTTATTTGTGCTGTTCATTCACAACAAATAATAATAAAATTAAATTAAAATAATATTATTTTATTTATTTAGTGATACTATGAAAGGTAGTGAATAGAGGGATGGATAACCTTGGAGTCAACAAGATGTGGGTTCAAATTCTGCCTCTATCACATACTAGCTATGTGACCCTAGTCAAAATCACTTACCCTCTCAATGTTCCAGTCAATTCTCAAAGACTAAACTTGCAGAGCAACTGCAGTTCTACATCGATGGAAGGAGTGTCCACACCTGCAGTTTCCATGCACTACCACCACCTTCCCTGTTCCCCACCCCCCTCAAAAAAAAATCAGTACTATCACCACACTTTATGGAATGAAAAATGTTCTAAAAATTCCAAACTAACTGCATACCCATGCCAGAACTCCAACTGAAATTAGAATAGAATACATCACATATAAAGCATATTGTAATACTTTCCAAGACTTAGCAAACAGAACTCCATCACATCTCACTTTATAGTAATGCCCTGTTTTTTGTTTTTCTTCTCCCCCCCAAGAATGACAGTATTTGCCATAAGATATACACACATAAATATATGTATTACACAGGGTTTAAATATGATTACAATTGAGCCCTACTCATACTTTAATGTATTGTAATATAATTACAATCTTGCTCAAGTAAGAAAACAAAGGGGAAGATCTTTGTCAAACATTTTTAACAAAGCGTCAAATTTTTGAAAAATCAACACAAAAAATGTCAACTATTCACCCAGACTTACCTGTAAACAAAAAACAAAATAGCCACTAAAACTCTGTTCTGCGATAACATCCTCCATTGTACGCAAGGTGGTACCCAAATAAGAATTTAGGAGCTGGGTAGGAAGCAGTCCAACTGAAGATGCCATCAAATAGTTGGGTAATGAAAGATCTGTAATCTAAAATAGTAGATTAAAAAGGAGGAATACATTACTTAATATCATTCTCATTGAACAAAAACTGTTTCTGTGAGACAAGCTAAAATATCTTCACGTAAAAATATTTGATTTCTTAAAAAAAAAAAAGCCAAGAGTTGCCTAAAATGTACAGAAACTTTACTAGTCATTTAAACTATATGTGTCCAATAAAGCTAATAATTACAAACAATTAGTAAATCAGTTTAGGGAATGCCTGGCAAGAAGCTTCCTCTAACAATGCAAATCAGCATCTTCTCCACAATTTCTACTCTTAGAAATTTTATGTATAAAGTTTAAGTTAAACTGAGAGTTTAAGTAAATTATTCAGGATTATACAGCCTATAGGTATCAGAGGTGGGACTTGAACCGGCCTCTTCTTCCTGACTTAGGAAACTAGCTTTCTATTCACTATGTAACACTACCTCTCAATTAACAATTAATTTTTTAATAAAATTAATTATGTACATTGCTACAAATATGAGTATGAACATTATTAGTTTGCATCCATATAGTACTAAAAGTTATAACATATATCTTTCAGATAAAAAAATTAGTGCTTTGAATTCTAAAATATCATAAAGCAGATTTGTAGCTAACTAGCTTTTAAACTCTAATTACAACATATAATTAGCATTCATCTATGAAATCAACAGTAAACAACTGAATTATATCTACAGTAGATTTCTAACACTTAAAAACAAACTCTTAAGTAGACATCATAACATAAGAATGGCAATCAAGGAACAAACTGAATTGTCAAACCTTTAAATATGACAGCCTGACCAAAGAAATTTTTTTCCTCATCCTCTACATTTTGTATATCTTCCTCTTTTGAAGAACTTTACATAAAACATTTCTTAAAAGCCTATTTCTTGTAACCACTGAAAATGAATTGACCCTAGACTTCACCTAAGAGCTGATCCTTACAGTTAAAATATTTACATTAGATGACTGAAAACATCATCCTGCATAATTTTAATAGCAAGCTGGTACTCATTCCTTCTCCTAAACACACAGCCTATCAATTTTGCTAAGGTGATTTAGCTGTGCTTTTTCTGGAGATACCAGACCTTCAAAAGACTAAGTATCTGCTTTCTCAAAGCCAGATATCCTAGATCTGGGGTGGGGAACCTGCAGCTTGAGGCCACATGTGGCATTCTAGATCCTTAAGTGTAGCTTTTTGACTCAATCCAAATTTTACAGAACAAATCCTTTAATTATCCAAGACAATTCCAAAGGACTCATGATGAAAAATACTATCCACCTCCAGAGAGAGAACTGATAAAATTTTGAGTGCAAATTGAAGCATGGAATTTTCTATTTTCTTTATTTTTCTTACTCTTTTTTACAACGTGGCTCATATGGAAATATGTTTTGCATGATTTTATATGTATAACTGATACATTGCTTGCCTTCTCAATGGGTGGGGGAGGGGCCAGAGAGGGGGAAAGAATTTGGAGCTCAAAATTAAAAAAAAATAAGAATGTTAAATAATAAATTGTCTAAAAAAGAAAGGAAAAAATGTAGACCATGAAACTAAACACAATATCTCATATACTGGAACACAGCAGAATAGACAGGACTATTTCCCCTGTCGTGGATACCACTTAAAGCTTTCTTCATTCAGCTAGTTTCATCTCTGTTCTCTCCTTCAGTATTAAACCTAGGAAAAGCTATCTATATCCAATTCTTCCATTTCATCAGTACCCTCCTTTTCATCAACTGTAATCTGGTCTCCATTCCTCCCACCATCCTTTTGCCTATCAAAAGTCAAGACCCTGCAGCCGCTAGGTGGTGAAGTGGATAGAGCTCCCCTTGCAGTCAGGAGGACCTGAGTTCAAATTAGCCTCCGACACGACACTTGACACTTACTAGCTGTGTAACCCTGGGCAAGTCACTTAACCCTGATCACCTCACCAAAAAAAAGCCAAAAAAAAAAAGTCAAGACCTCCTTCAATGACCTCCTATTTGACCAATTCTTCATTCCTCATCCTTCTTGATCTTTCTACACCTTCTAACATGAGAGATTACTACTTCCTGCTGCATACTCTCTTTTCCCTTGGTTTCAAAAACACTTATTTCTCTAAGATCTCCTTCCCCTTTGCAAATCCTCATTGTCTTCCTGATTCTATTAATATACGTGTTCTTCAAGGATTTGACTAAGGACAATTTGGCTTTTGGCTACTATACTCTTTAACTTGGCATCCTCATTTTTATACCACTGATATGTTCCTGTCTTCTGGGCAGAGATCTACATCTTCAACTACCCACAGAATGTCTTTACTTAGATATTCTTCTGGTACTTCATTATCAATACAACTAAAAGCTTTACTAACTTTCCCATAATGTGCTCCTCCTGAGGTCACTATTTGTATCTGTGGTACATTCAACTGTTTTCCCACACTCATAATCTCAGATTATCTTTTACTTTCCTATGTCTCTCACTTGCCATATCCAATGTTCAAGTCCAATCAACCCACCTCTGGAACTGTCTTCTTTTCATATTGCAACCAAGTTCTCATTATCATCACTGGCTTAGACTAATATAATAGTCAGTTCCCTAAAAGGTTTTTTCCAACTTCAAAGTCATCCTCTCTAATTTTTTCTTCAAGATGTTTCTAAAACAGTTTTTGTTATACACAGATCTGGTCATGTTACTCCGCTGCTCAAAAATCTTCAGCAACACCCTAGTACGTACTAAATAAAATTTTTTCCCTGGTACTCTGTCATGACCTGATCCTATCTTTCCAGTCATATTTCTCCCTTCCATGCTTTCCCTGATTCAGCCAAATTTAAATACTGTTTCCTGAATATACTCCCCTGAATGCAACCTTGCTTACCTTGTTTTCCTGTATCTCAAACCCTCTCCCTCTCCAACTCTACCTACCAAATTCTTATACATCCTTTAAAGCCTAAATTAAGTATCATGTATGAAAAATAGCCATGAGGACAGTATCACTAAATTGCCAAATACAGGGAGGGAAGTATAAGAAATCAGTGAAGACAGGAAGGAGCTAGGTTATAAAAGGTTTTGAATGCTAAATAGAGGATTTTATATTTGATCCTAATGGTAAAAGGGAGCCACTGGAATTTATTGAATGGAGGGATGACATTATCAGACTTTTCCTTCAGAAGATCAATTTGGCAACTACGTATAAGATGGACAGAAATAGGGAAAGACTTGAGGCAAGGAGACCAACCAGCAGGCTTCTACAGTAGTCCAAGCATGAGGGGATGAGGACCTGCACCAGGGTGGAGGCAATGTCAGAGGAAAGAAGGGGTATACAGGACATTACAAAAGATAGAACTGAGAGAACTTGGCACTGATTGCAAACGGGAGAGACAAGAGTGAAGAATAAAGGACAATTCCTTCTTTGCAAGCCTGAGTGACTAAAAGGATAGGGGTACCCTTGACTGTAATCCAAAAGTTAGGAGAAGACTTAGTTCAGTTTTGGAAATGATGAATTTAAGATATCTATGGAACATCCAGTTCAAGACGGAGTTGGAGTTGTGAAGCAACTTGGAGAAGCAAAAAGTCAGAGATATGAAAATAGAGGTCAAGTTAGAGGTCACAGCTGGATAAACAGATCTGAGAGATGATAATTGAATTCATGGGAGCCGATTAAATCATCAAGCCAAATAGAACAGAGAGAGAAGTTATTTTATGCCTTTAAAAACATTATTATGAGAAGGGGTCCCTGACACACACAAGAATCATGAACCTCTCTCCTGGGTAAAATCTTGATCCCATCCCCCAATCCAATATAGAACTTTGTTCAATAACTTTAGTGAATTTATGTAATATTATATATTGTAGTTATCTGTGTTTTGACATATCTCTTCTAGACTTGGGGAATATGGCATAGTTAAAAAGAGCCTTCATTTGGTTAACCTGGTTTTAAATCCTAATTTCACTACTTAATAACTGTGTGACCCTGGGTAAATCAGGTAACTTCTCTGGGCCTCAACTGTAAAATGGTAAAAACAGGGGGCTGAATTAGATCATGCCTTAAGGTTCCTTGCCAGCTCTAGATCCTATGACTAAATTAACTCTTAGCAGTTTTTGTATGTGATCTTTGGCCACGATCAAGGAATTGACAAACTACTAAAAGAACCAAGTCACATACATGCAGACATTAATTACTGCTATAAATCAGACAAACAAGTACAAAAAAATATACCGGTAAAATGAATAATATCTTGTAACGTTCTCCCTGAAGAGGTAAGCAAGTATAAGTAGTTGGTATAGTTGATTTTATGGTGCACCAAATGTTAACAGGAAACAATTTCATGGAACACTTAGTCATATCACTTTATAGTGCTTGCTTACAAGCTCAAGCAAAAATACATCACAAACGTATCTGTAGGTTAAATGTCAGCGCATTTGTTGCTTGAGAATGAAATAGAAAAGCTTCATAACTTGGTCAGATTCACCAAACAAAGCTAACATACATTTTGATACTCAGTAAACAGCAACACACTGACTTCAGAGTTGGAACACCTGATTTTTTGTTCTGCTACTACCTGTGTGGCCTTGACCAAATAATTTATCCTCTCTGTTCTTTAAGGTCCTAAACTGTAAGATGAGCAAGCTAAATTACAGCATTTCTACTTTCCCTTCCAGTGCCAAATTCTATAATCAAAAAAAAAAAAAAATAAGACAGGAGAAAACTACAAATACTATACTGGAAAATGTGGTTTAGGATAAAGAAGGTATCTTTCCATGATGAACATTAACTTCTAAGAAGGGAATCCGAAGGTGACAGATGTCAAGCACAGAATGATATCATTAAAAAAAAAACACAAAGAAATGAAAATGCATATATCTTAAAAAGTTAAAGATAAAGGAATCACTTCATAATCAGATGCTTATATGTAAATACTCAACTAGCTAGAGAAAAGAAAATAATCAATTAAAAACATACAGATGAAGAGATACTGCATAACTATACACTAACAGGAGCTATTTAAATAGCATGACC